ATCCATCCATCCATCCATCCATCCATCCATCCATCCATCCATCCATCGCGACCGGAGCTGATAGCTCTCCAGCGTTCTTCCGCTTGCATCAGCTGAGTGAAGCGATCGTGCTCAGGAGGACTCACTGTAGCAGTTCTTAGAAATTTAAAACGTCAGTCAAAAATTGCGTTATGAATATGGAGGGAAAAAACGTATATAAGTCACTTTGGTGTAAGTCGCAGGACTGACAAATGTATGCAAAAATCTGTGACTTATACACTGGAAAACATGGTAAATGTTGTGCATGTTACAAGTGAGATTTTGCTCTTTTGCCCCTTGTCCTGTCCAGCATTGTGACACTCAGAATTATTGTCTGAGTGTCAAAGTGATGTCCAACAGATTTACTTTCACAAGCAGAGCATTATGGCTGGCCTTAATGCTCCACTTGATATATAAATAAAACTTTATTAGAATATGCTTTGGGCTTGTTCCAGATGTAATGGACACGGGGATGAAAAACAAAGAAGAAAACAAAGCAGAAAAGTGAGAGAAGTGTTAAAAGGTAAAGAAGGAGATAGGAATAGAGGAGAGAGAGACGGATAAAGAGAACACAAATCAACATTGAAGTCTGCCTCTAGACCTGCAGAAAGAAAAACAAGACAAAACCGAGAAACCACAACAACAAACAACATATATAATGATACTTATAACATGATTAGAAAGTATTTTATACAGTACATGGTAATACAAGATATATTTAGTGGCCACCACAACCCAATTGAGTGTGTATCTGATAAACACCTGGATCTAAACACCTGTGTGAACATGCTTGTCACTATAAGGTTTCTCCATAAAAATGTTCAATAGTGGATGTGGGGACCCACAGACCTGTCCCCACAGGACACGATGGTAACACAGGGAGGACTGGAGCTTTTAATATCCAAACAAAAAAATTTTGTCAGACGAGTTGAAAGATGGGACTCTGCAGAGACGTCTAGCTGAGAGAAAGTTCTGCTTCCGAGGTGAGTTGATCACTGTCTCCATTGATTTTTACAGAGGCTCTCAAAAATAAAAGCAGAGCACCACATGGTGAGCTAATAAAAACTAAAGTATGGGTATAGAGATCAAAACAACACTGAGATGAATGCATTATTTTATGATACGATAAATATGGGATTAAAGTTTGTTTTTACAGTGTATTCTAATGTGGCTGATTCTTCCTCTCAGGAACATGAGCGTGTTGGAAAGTTACTGTCAGGTTATGAGAGCATTTGAAAAAAATCTGACAGATTTTTAGGCTTTGTCAGAAAGAATTGTGTTTATTCACAAAACCTCAATCAATCAATAAATAAAAGCATAGACACAGATAAATGTGTGGTGGATTTTTCCCCAAGAGGCGATAAAAGTGTTAATTAAATCCTGTGTTTTACTGATGGACACACACGAGTTCAGGTGTTTGTCCCCAGCTCAACAACCTGACATCAGCGAGTGCTGGCGCTCAGACTGGAAGACATCTGGAGAGGCTTAATAGTTACTGGAAGTGGCACAAACTGCACTCAGATCGCACAAAGAGCCTCTTGTTGTGTTTTCTTTTTCCACTCTGTAGGAAAATGTCCATCTGTGCTGGGAGAAGGTGAGACAGAACAAACTGCTGCTTTGTCTAAAGCTGCACCTCCTGAGTGCTGGACGTCAGCTAACGGACATAATGGGACGCACAAAGACAGTTGTGTACAGATGTAACGCTGGTGTATCTGCCTCTGATACATGGCCCATCAGGTCTGGCAAAAGCTTCCTTTTATTTGTGGTTTTGGAAGAAGGACACAAATCTGAGCTTCTTCTGGAGCACGAAGGTAAAACAGGCAGTAAAATGCTCTGAAGAAGACGAATTCTACATGTAGGCATGTACAGGTGAAAACATTTTTTATTTTAACCTTTATTTATACAGGTTTGAGTCAGGAGGACACTTTTTCAAAAGAGACCTGTCTGGGAGCAGATGGTGGGGGTTAAGAGCCTTGCTCAAGGGCTCAAAGTGGGGCAAATGAGGGTGGAGGCAGGTGTGGGTGTTTCACCTTTTCCACCCACATTTTGATATTATAGGTCCGGAGAGTCGAACCTGCGACCTTCCAATCACAGGCCCATCTTTTCTAACCTCTGCGCCACCACTCCCCAAAGAATAGATGATATAACGAGGAAAGAACTTTATGTGGAAACACTGAAGCAACACATCAGCCAGGAAGTTAAAGCTTGGACACAAATGTCTTCAAACGTCAAAAAGACATTGACCCTAAAAACAAAGAGCACCTTTCTATCTAATCAAGATACTCAAAGCTCTTTACAACACTGTGCCCTCATTTACACACACACACACACACACACACACACACACACACACACACACAC